TTAGGTAGGTCATGGGTGGGGGAGGGGGACCTGGAGCACAGCGGCAGAAAATGCTTCTAGAAAGGAAGAAAACTGATCTATCACTATCTGCTCGGGGATACTTATCTTGAACCACCCTTTGTACCTGTCCATTTCAATTTGGCTTTACCTTTTACCATCTTGATCTTTTCCTGGCCAAATAAATCTTGGGTCCAAATGGACCAGCGTACCATAATCTTATGAAAAGCATGCTCCTTTCCTGCTTTGTCGTCTCTAATAGTTATATCACATGACTTTACTGTCGCTTAAATGTCCTTGACAACTGCCACCGTGGTGGAATATTTTAGATGATGTCGTGGTGCCTTTTGATTAATGTAAATATTTTCACCCTCCTCCCTTGAATCCCTGTGGCCTCTTAAATGACATGAAATCCCTTTAAAAAATATTCATGTCATTGTCTCTTGTTAGGAAACTAATAAACTGTCTTTATGTGTGAAAAAAAAAAGAAAGAAGTAATCATGCATGAATAAAACATCCCAGCCCAGTCCCAACTCAAGTCCATAAGTGGATCCAATGATGGAAGATGCATCTCCAGGGCCGTGGCAGGCCTCTGGCAGCAGTCAGGGGCAGCCATCAGGAAGGAGAAGGCAGAGAGAGGCAGGGAGGCTCTCAGGGCACCCCCAATGAGAAAGCCATGCCACCCACAGAGTCACCATCAGGCCGTGATGTGATTGACAGGCTAAACTCTACCCCTACACTTTTATGTACAAGTTGACATGAAATTATGTAACTATCACACCTTTCCAGGGACCCAGATTCCAGGAGGTTTGAGAACTGTTATGAGGAAGAAGAAAAAAAGTTTTAGCAGTATCTGCGACTGCTATTCCCACATAAATTATAGGTATTTGCATATTGCAGTCCAGTTGTTGCAAAAACAAACATCGGTAACAGAAAAACAAACTGCTGCGTGCGTCCAGTTGATTTGGGCACTTAGTGGCCCGACAGAAGAGTCCTCAGGTTTTCAAGCTGCCGACTTTTAGGGAAGCAGACTGCTGCATGTTTCTCTTGTGCAGTGACTGGTGGTTCAAACCACCGACCTCTCGATGAGCCACGGAGCGATGTCACCACTGAATATAAAGGGCTTCTGCAGTTGTGGGAGACACCTTTTACAGAGCAGTTATACTCATGATGACTTCTGCTACTTAATGGTCCAACCTCTAAAGCTTATAATTTAATAAGCTAATAAAGAATCACAGGGATTTAGGAATCACAAATGTGTGTTGTAATTTTTAATCATTGTATTTCAATATTCATGATGTTTGTGGTACAGTATATTTTATGTATCGGGGATACCCTCTCCAGATGTTGAGTGTGTCCCTGGCACAGTAAAAATTTAAAGCCCTGTCCTAAAGCCACACCTCATCCTGACCCTTTGGTAAGATACTTCATTCCCTCATTCATAACAAATATTCTGAGTGCTCACCATGTGCCAGGAATGCTTGAGTAACTAGCTCTGTGTCACAGACGTAGATGGCTGACACCAACGTGGCCTCTGCCCTGCTGTTGTACCGCCTGCATCTACCTCATCCAGTGCTGGAAAAGTCAAGTTTATAGCAGGGAAAGCTTACTGAGAAGGGCAGAGAGTACCCCTAGGCAGAGAATTTAGCTGTAAATTCCCAGTAAGAGAAGAGCCCGCCAGATTGACCAGCATACATACATAAGTGAGGCAATCCAAGGCAAGTGTGCTTAGGGCTTGGGCCACACTGACAGGGATGGAACATCTTTGTGAAGGAGTTGGGTCTGGACTCTTGAAGCTGTAGGTAAAGTACAAAGTGGAAAGGTTCAAGTCAGGAGTGTGTTAGTCCGGGTTTGACCAGAGAAATCCAGGGAGACTTGTGTGTATAAGAAAGAGCTGTATTTGGTGAGTAAAGCCTGCAGTCTGCGCAAAAAAAAAAAAAAAGAAAGAGCTGTATATACTAGAGCAGTTGAATATTGAGAAAACAGCCCAGCCCAGTCCACATCAAGTCCATATATCTGATATTAGCCCATATGTCCCATACCAGTCTATAAAGTCCTCTTCAGACTCACGAAACACATGCCATGATGCCAAATGCAGGAAGATCACAGGCCCGTGGGTGGAAAGTCTTTGGATCAGTAGCGATGTAAGCATCTCAGCGCTGGCAGGGGTCTCTACATGGCTTCTCCGGCTTCAGAGGTCTGGTTGCATCAGGGTAGGTCCATGTGGCTTCTCCAGCTCAGGGCACTAGCATGGTTCCATGTGTCTTGTCAGCTGCAATGTCTCCCAGGGAGTTAGCAGAGAGAGAATGTCTCCTGCCCCCCAAAGTACAGCGATTCCCAGAATCCTCAGGGGGAAGACCATGCCCACAAGGAGACCTCATTCACTATGACCTGATTGACAGGCTAGACTCCACCCTTTCACTTGTAATCCTCTCAAATTGACAACAGGTTATATAACTACCACAAGGAGTGGGTGCTGCGGTAGGGCTGACATGATTATATTTGCATTTAAAATGATCCCTTGGGAACAGCATGGAGAGTGAGGTTAAGAAAGGAATCAGACTAGAGAAGGGCTGAGGAGCCCTGGTGGTGTAATGGGTTACATGTTGGGCTGCCAGCATGTAAGGTCAGC